CCTCAAGCTCCCGAGGGCGGCTCAGGAGGTTCCCAAGAGGCGCCCACACGGCCCCAACAAGCGTCCAGAAAGCTTCAAATAAGCTCCCAAGAGACCTCCAAGAGGCTTCAAGAGGATGCCCGAGGCATCCAAGGCGCTCAAAGACGGCCCTGGGCTCGCCAAGATGTCCCTTCTCCTCCTCCTCCTCCTCCTCCTCCTCCTCCTCCTCCTCCTCCTCATCCTCCTTGTCCACTGTCTCTTCCTCCTTCCTCATCTTCGCCCTCCTCCTTATTCTCCTCCTCCTCCTTCTCCTCCACCATCCTCCCCCTCTTAGGGTATCGGACGGCGCCCCCCGCCATTTGTTCTTCTGCATGCTCCCCCACTTCCCTGATCACTTCAACTCCCCTGGGCATCGTTTCTGGATGGGCTGGTGGGGAGATGCGAAGCGTCAACAACTGTTGGTTCGCTGGGTTGCACGATGCCCTCTGCAATACGTGATCCTTTGACACCCGCGATATGCAGGATGGCTGGATGCCAGGAGTACCCCACCAGCGTGACCATGATCACCATCGTCACAATGCTCCCGTCGTCGCCATCATCGCTCGCCCGCCGAGCCGTGGCTCTGCACAGCGCCAGCTGAGTGTTGCCAACAAGTTGCGGGTAGGAGGCCGGTACGTTCGCTCGGGCATGGGAGGCGGTCACGCGATGATGTCAGTCAAGATGGTTGCCAGCCATCGATTGCAAGCACCAATTGCACACAGTAGATTGCACCACCCGTGCTGCAGCCCATAACTTGCACCACATAACATGCAGCGCACAAAAGAAATGCCGCCTGACTTGTCCCACACCGTTTGCACCACACATATTGGAATGCCTAGCCTGAACACACATCACGTCGCATGCACACTGTAGCTTTTTTGGTCGTGTGTATATATATATATATGTATACATATGTATGTACATGTATATTATAAATATATCCAGACTGCATAAGCTCACTGCTTGGAGTGCACGCTTGTAAGCATTTTCGACTATAGAAGTTATCTCGCAAGCGAGAAGAGTGGACCCACCGAGAGTGCACCTGCGGATTTGTTCCCGACCCTCCTGTGTGTTGAGTTCTCGTTTGGGATCGAGCACTGCCATCGCGTCTACGTATCCTCCCCTCCTTCTGTTTCCTCGTGCGCTTATCCCTGGGTGACTACGAACTGCGCAACCGTCGCCACTTTCGTGGGCTCCTGGCAGGCACGGCGGGGTAGCGGAGGACGCGCATCCAGCCGAGGCCTCGCAGCTCCGTGGGGGGGCTGCGCACTGCGCAAGCGCCGCCACTTTCGCGGGCTCCTGGAAGGCACGGAGGGGTAGCGGAGGACGCGCATCCAGCCGAGACCTCGCAGCTCCCTGGGGGGTGCTGCGCACTGCGCAAGCGCCGCCACTTTCGCGGGCTCCTGGAAGGCACGGAGGGGTAGCGGAGGACGCGCATCCAGCCGAGGCCTCGCAGCTCCCTGGGGGGGCTGCGCACTGCGCAAGCGCCGCCACTTTCGCGGGCTCCAGGAAGGCACGGAGGGGTAGCGGAGGACGCGCATCCAGCCGAGACCTCGCAACTCCCTGGGGGGGCTGCGCACTGCGCAAACGCCGCCACTTTCGCGGGCTCCTGGAAGGCTCGGAGGGGTAGCGGAGGACGCGCATCCAGCCGAGACCTCGCAGCTCCCTGGGGGGGGGCTGCGCACTGCGCAAGCGCCGCCACTTTCGCGGGCTCCAGGAAGGCACGGAGGAGTCGCGGAGGACGCGCATCCAGCCGAGACCTCGCAGCTCCCTGGGGGGGCTGCGCACTGCGCAAGCGCCGCCACTTTCGCGGGCTCCTGGAAGGCACGGAGGGGTAGCGGAGGACGCGCATCCAGCCGAGACCTCGCAGCTCCCTGGGGGGGGCTGCGCACTGCGCAAGCGCCGCCACTTTCGCGGGCTCCCAGGGAAGCGCGGCGGAGCGCCGCGGAGTGCGCGGGCCTGGCCGAGGCCTCGCAGCTCTCCGGGGGGGGGGGGCTGCGCACTGCGTAAGCGTCGCCCCTGTCCGTGGGGCTCCCTGGGAGGCAGGGCCGCGGAGCACGCGCACCCAGGCAGGACCTCGCCACTCCCTGGGGGGCTGGGAGTGGGCTCCAAGAAGGCAAGTCCGTCGCAGGGGGAGGGCGAGGAGGAGGGCGAGGATGGGGTCGAGGAGGATGAGGAGGAGGAGGAGGAGGAGGAGGAGGAGGAGGAGGAGGAGGAGGAGGAGGTGGAGGTGGTTGTGGAGGTGGAGGAGGAGGAGGAGGAGGAGGAGGAGGAGGAGGAGGAGGAGGAGGAGGAGGAGAGGAGGAGGAGGAGGAGGAGGAGGAGGAGAAGGAGGAGGAGGAGGAGGAGGAGGAGGAGTGGGAGGAGGGCTCCCTTGGGGGCTGCGAGCTGCGCAACCGTTGCCACTGTCCGTGGGGCTCCCTGGGAGGCAGGGCCGCGGAGCGCGCGCGCACCCCGGCAGGACCTCGCAGTTCCCTTGGGGGGCTGCGCACTGCACAGCCGCGTCGCCAGGTTCGCGGGCTCCCCGGGAGGCGCGGCGGAGGCGCGGAGGACGCGGCTCCAGCCGAGGCCTCGCGGCTTCCCGGGGGGGGCTGCGAACTTTCCAGTGGTCGCCGCTCTCGTGGCCTCCTGGGGGGGGGCACGGCGGAGTCAGAGAGCAGGCGCACCCAGACGGGACCTCGCAGGTCCCTGGGTGGCTGCTGACTGCGCAACCGTCGCGGGCTCCTGGGGTGCGCGGCGGAGGAGCGGAGTACGCGCATCCAGACGGGACGTCGCAGCTTCCTGGGGGGGGGGGCTGCGCACTGCCCAACCGTCGCCACCGTCGTGGGCTCCTGGGAGGAACAGCTGAGTCGCAGAGTGCGCGGACCCAGAATGTCTCGCAAGTCCATGGTTGGCTGCAAACTGTGCGATCGTCGCCACCTTCGTGGGCTCGTGGGAAGCGGGGCGGAGTAGCGGAGTAGACGCACCCAGACGGGACCTCGCAACTCCCTGGGAGGGCTGCAAACTGCGCAACTGTCGCCATGTCCGTGGGCTCCCGGGAAGCACGGCAGAAGCGCGGAGTACGCGCACCCAGACGAGACCTCGCAAGTCCCCGGGGGGCCGCGAGCTGCGCAACGGTCGCCATGTCCGTGGGCTCCCTGGGGGCACGGCACGGGGGCGGAGGACGCGGACTCAGGCGGGACCTCGCAGCTCCCTGCGGACCCAGGCGGGACCTCTGGACTCCTGGGAGGTCCAGCGGAGTTGGGGGCCACGCGCACCCATTTGAGACTTCGCTGCTCCCTGGCACGCTGCGAACTACGCAAGTGAGGCCACTTTCGTGGGCTCCTGGGAGGTCCACCGGGGTCGGGGGCCGCGCGGATCGAGCGGAGACCTCGCGGCTCCCCGGGAGGCTACGAAGTGCGCAATTGACGCCACTTTTGTGGGCTCGTTGGATGCACGGCGGAGATGAGGGCAGCGCAGATCGACCATATCTGGCGATGTGTTATTGTATATGGAGCGTTCATGCAAATATTCGCCTCGCGTGGAGACAGGGCTGGGTAAGTCTCAGGTAGTTGTACCCAGCTGACAGCTGATATTTTTGAGGACCGCCAACGCATGCGAGCCGCACATGCCAAAAGCACAGACAAGACGCAGAGCAGGCCCTTGCGGAAATCACGAATTCGCGCCACCGACGGAATCAGACCATATTCGATGAAAGCACTATTCGTGCAACTGGCGATAGTTGGTGGAAAAAATGCAATGGCCATCCGGCCGATCTATGAAGAGCGTGTGCTTCATTTTGGCACCGCACTTTAAGTACGTCTAGGAGACAGGCTATCACCGCCACAGTTGCCACGCGTATTGGCGAGAAGGCGGGCGAGCAAAACTGCCACCAATATGACGCAATCCGATGCACATGTGCTACACGAAGAATTGGCGAGCCGCGCGTCTACCCGCCGCGAGGCTTCAAACGACCAATTCGCGCAGTCCTGCTGCTCCACCTCCCCCTTCTCGCCTCCGTCCTCGCCCTCCCGGCGCCGTGGTCCTCGCCGTCGTTCTCGTGCCGCTGGCGCCACCATCCTCGTCCTCCTCCTCCTCCTCCTCGTTTCCCTCCTCCTCCCCCTCCTCCTCCTCCTCCCCCTCCTCCTCGTCCTCGTCCTCCTCCTCCTCCTCGTCCTCCTCGTCCTCCTCCTCCTCCTCTTCCTCGTTTCCCCTCCTCCTCCTCCTCCTCCTCCTGCTCCTCGTTGCCCTCCCGCGCCTCACCTGTTCGCAAGGGGCCGCTCGCTCATGCGGCGCCAACCCGCGCCCGCCCGAGGCCGTTCGCGGGGCCGGGAGGCCTCGGGGACCCTGCGGCACCTCCCACGGAGGGAGACTGGATGAAGAGACAGGTGCACTCTCCATCTCACAATAGTGGGGGTTGGACAGACCCCCCTTTAGTAAAACGTGGTTTCGTGAAAACGACCTGAGGCCCAAACCTGGCGGGCGCAAGCCTGGAAAATAACGGCCACGGCGCCCTCTCGAGAACCGAAAACGGACAATTCACTAATCGACGTGTCACTGTTGGGGGTTCTATCCACCTCCGTGGGGGGGGTCAAAACAGTGTTTGACGGCTCGTTTTGGACCCCCCCCCAGAGCGGCCCGGCTGCGCCGAAATCCAGGCCCCCCCAGAAGCATCGTTTGACGTTTGACCTTTCGCCAAACTGTTGGAGACCCGCTCGGATTTCTTGGATCCGCCCTGGGCCCGCGCTGGCGGCGCCTCTGGCGCCGCCCCTCGGCGCACTCCGCGTCGCCAGGGGGCCCAGCGCCGATCCAAGGAAGCCGCACGAGGCTCCAAAAGTCAATGCTCATGACGCTTTGTCTTCTTCACGAGGCCACCCCACCGCACCGATGCGTCGCGGCCTTGCGTAGCCTGGCGGGCTCCCGACCCCTTCCAGACTTCATTCGTCGAGCGAGGCGCTGCCCGGTATCAGGCGAGAAGCTTCTGCTCGATCGACTGGAGGATGTCAAGCGCCTTTCCGCGCTGGGAACTTATCCGCACCCACAGACTCGCGGACGTGCCCAGAGCCCCCCCTCCGGTTGCGAAACACCGCGACGGCAGGCTTCTGCCCATGTTCGGCCTCGGAGGGGCCCCTTTTCCGGCCTCGGGTCGCCAACAACAGGGCAGGATTCGCATCGAAGGATGCAACATGAAAAGCTCTTCCAGGGAAGGGGTCGAGACACACACGCACGCACGCACACACACACACACGCGCACGCACGCACGCACGCACGCACGCACGCACGCACGCACGCACGCACGCACGCACACACACACACACACACACGCACGCACGCACGCACGCACGCACGCACGCACGCACGCACGCACGCACGCACACGCACGCACACACACACGCACACACACACACACACACACACACACACACACACACACACACACACACACACACACACACACACACACACACACACACACACACACACACACACACACACACACACACACACACACACGCACACACACACACACACGCGCACGCACGCGCGCGCACACACACACACACACACACACGCACGCACGCACGCACGCACGCACGCACGCACACACGCACGCACGCACGCACGCACGCACGCACGCACACACAACACACAATACACAAAACACGCACCACACACCACACAACAGACACCACACAGCAGACAGCACACAACACACCTTACACATTACACACAGTACACATCTTACACACGTTATACACATTACACACATGGCACACAACACACACACACATCACACACCACACACCACACACCACACACAACACACAGCACACGCACGCGCACATGCACACGCACACCCACGTACACCCACACGAACACACCCACACACACACACCCACGCACACAAACACAGACACACACACACAGACACACACACACACAGAGACACACAAACACACACAGAAACACACACACACAACACACAAAGACACACACACAGACACACACACACAAGGTCGGTAATCAGATGGTCCCCCTGGATCTCGCAGAGCGTTGGATGTGGATACATTCCCGATACCTTCCCGCCCCCTGGGGACGGCGAGGTATCCGCATGCAACGCTCTGCCAGACCCTCGAGGGAAAGCACGTCTCCGAGTTGGCGGATGCGGATAATTCCCGGACGTGGATCCTTGGCCTCCGCCCCGACGAAGCTGTCGACGAGCCCCCCCGCGCCCGACTCGAAGAGGAACACCGCGGGCACCCTTCTGAAGTCGAGCCGGTCCATGAAGTGCGGATGCTGGAGCACGTTGACCCTGAGCACCCGCACGCGGCCCGCGAAGTAGTCGTCGAAGGCGTCCAGCACCTCAGGAGGCCACCCTGAGGCAGTCGCTGACCGTCTCCTGCGCCTCCTCCTGCTGCTCCTGCTAAGTTTTGTCCCCGACCCTCGAGGGTCGCCGAAGGATTCGATTCGGTTGGGCGTTTTCCATTGTTTCTGCGTTCGCGGTTTCTGCCCTGTTCGGGCCTTAAGACGCCTCCGGGGGCCTCTGAGGATCCCCAGGGGTCAGCACCCAGGGCGGAAGCAAAGTGCACGGGCACACTTGCGCCCCCTCCCTCCGCCCCTGCACTCACGGACCTGCGAAGCCGCGACTATCGCTCTCTCGACCCCGGCTTTCGATCTTTCGATCTCGCGACCCCGCTACCTTCGATCTCGCAATCCATGGCTGTGCGGGCCCCCGGATCTCTCATCTCTCGACCCCGACGGCGACGGCGACGGCGGCGACAAAAAGGGTGGCGTGGCGGGCGTGGGCGCCCGCATCACACCGCGGACCACCGCCCGGCGATCGACGAGTCGGTCGCTGGGCCGGAAGCTCTGGACCCCGGGCCCCCTTCTCGGGGCTGGCTTTCCGCCCCGAGCCGTTTTCTTCCTGACGGCCCCGAGACCCGCAAGCGCCCCCCCCCCGATGCAGAAGCCGAGGAACCACACCGCGGTGGAAACAAAACAACACTCCACCGCAGGCCTTGGCAGAAACGATCGGGGTTCCCCCCCTCAGCCCGGCGCCTTGTCCATGCGCCTGCACGACGCGCACCTGCTGGCGGGGCACTGCAACTCATGCCGACCGCTGCCGGCTCTGTGCCGCTCCGTGCTGCCGCTGCGCGGCGCCGTGTCCCGGCAGTGGCTCCCCGCCCGCGCCGAAGCCTCGAGGCCCTTCCTCCTCCCCCACCCTCCCCCTCCTCCCTGCGCCCTGCCGTCTCCTCCTCGGTCCTCGTCCTCCTCCCGCCTGTCCCGCGCCCTCCTCCTCTCTCTCCTGGCCGCGGCCCCCATTCGGGGGGGAGGATCCGCGGACGGCGTGGCTGCCTCCCGGCGTGCCCCGTTCGGAGGGGATGATGCGCGGACGGCGTGCCTGCACCGGAATGAGGACGGGGTCTCATCGAGCCTCAGGGCCTCATGGCCTTAGGGGTGATGATGCGGAGGAAATGGAGGAGAGGTGCGAAAAAGGGTGAGGAGAAGCAACGGGGGAGGACAACTCGTGGGCGAGGGAGAAGAGCAGCTCTGCTCCAGAGGGGGCGGGCGTTTTGTCGCCTATCAGTCGCAACAGGCGAGGCGGGCCAGGGCAGCTCCACGGTCATCCATATGCTTCTCGTATATGCGGAGAGTCGCGGCGCCGGCCACAGCGCAGTGAATCCTGATCTCCAGGCGCGGATAGCAGCCGAAGACGAGGCGCTGAGCAGTGATCGACAACGTGCTCTCCCTCTGCTCGGCCAATATTCTCACAGGCCGATTCTGCGAAGCGGATCGGGACGAGGATAACCCTCGGCAGCGCCAGCAAGTACATCGCCCGCCCACATCTGATGTGCAACTTCTAAAATGTGACAGCCGCGCTGCCTCTGGAAACGCTGCCCTCTAAACTGTTCCTGTTTCTTATCGCGTTCCTCTTGGTCTTCCTCCTGCGACAGCCGAGGCCGGCCTGCATGCCGCCCGTGACCTTTATGACTTCGACCCCGACCGCGGCGAAGGAGTACACAGCGACCGCGAGCACACATGCCTCAGGGGCTGGAGGCCCTGGGAAGGGCAAGACGCGCAACCCCGATGCCAAAGAGCAGCAAAGGAACGTCTGCGAAGCTGACCGTCCTCCGACCCTCTGACCTTCAGAGGGGCCCGTCTGGCTGCGCCCGTCTGGCTGCTCATGCGTGCCGCCCCCATCCACTCTCCCCCCTCCCGCGGGCCCTCTTAGAGGCCCAAAAGGCTGGACAGTCGCCGACGGTGCCAGCTAGCGATGGCGGCTTGCGCGCGCGCCCTATTTTCCAGCGGGCGCGAGCACGCGCAGCCGCGGGAGCTCGACCTTCCCAAAGGCTCCGCCAGGGACAGTCGGGAACTGCGCGACGTGTTGCGCAGCAAGACGTGCAAACGCCGCCATGCTGCCCCCAGCGCAGGGCAATTCGCCCAGCAGCAGCGCCGCCTTGCACCTCGCCGGCACACGCTCCTGCCTCCCCAGGGCACGCGTCCCCCGACCACCCCAGGCTTACGCACGCGAGTGAGGAGGCACAGACCCTGGACCGGCCAGCGCTGTAAGGCCAACTCCTGGCATGTCGTACGTGGATGGAGGCGTCGCTCGAGGCGGCTCCGCTTCTTTTTGCCCACCTGGTTCAGGCAGGGGGGCCTGGGGAGAGAGGATGGAGGGGAAGGAAGAGGAGCAGAGGTCTGGCCGACGCGAGGCTTACCTGGGTGCGTGCAATGGTGGAATTAAACGCAACCGCGGGCGTTCCTACCGTCCTACCGCGCACGCGCAGGTCGTCTGTGAAGACGAACTGCCTTTCATCGGAGAGAGGATGAAAGGAAAGAAGGGATGCTGAGGGAGAGGGGGCACTCGGACACTCGCGGAGGAGGGCGGAGGCAGAGAAGATGCGAAAGAGGGGGAGGGAGGAGGAGTGCGCGCATTCAAAGAGGAAGAGACGAGGGCAAGCGGGCAAGACGCGAGACGAGGGCAAGTTGTCCGCGCGCGTCCACCCGCTGGCGCCAATTTACCTCCAGAGCAAGGCTGTGGCACCGCTCAACCCTTCAGCTGTCGTGGCTGGGGTCGGCGTGGCATGCTTCATTTTGTTGTAACGGTTGAAGACCAGCGCTGTCCGCTGCATCGACCGCAGCAACGAGAGGTCGCTGTCAGGATCAGACGGATAGGCTGCGGCGGGGCCCAAGCCCCAGTTTGTAAGTGCGTTACGGAGCGGGGGAGAGTCAGGGGGCCAGAGGAGGCTCAGGGGGCCAGGGCAAGAAGGATAGTGAGGGAAGGAGTCGGGTGCCGCCTTGCACCCGAACGCGCACTGCTTCTGCTAGAGGACGTGCATGCGGTGGGTGGTTGCCCATCCCCCAGCAAGCGTCTTGTCAACCACCCAACGCCAGCTGGGGCGGACTTTGCGGAATGCACTGGTGAGAGCGGCCCAGCGCGTCGCGAGTTCTGGGGCTGAGGGCGGCTGACGGATGCCCCAGGCTGCGGTGCGCTTCTCGAGAGTGACGGTAAACGGCGAAGAAAAAGAGGCGCGCTGGGGCGCGAGCGCGACCGCGCGCTGCACCTTAGGGCGGAGCGGTGGCTCGGCGGCTGGGGCCTCTCGGCGCTCGCGGGCAGCTGCTCAGTTTGCCGCGGCCACGGCAGCTCCTGAAAACGGCGCGGCACGCTTGCCGCAGGACAGGGCATGGTAGAACTGCACGACGGAAGCGCCCCCTTCCCAGAAAGGGCGGACACCGCTGCCCAGCCCCCCACCGATGGAAGGAGTGAGCGGTGCTCTCCTCCCACGCGGTGTCTCGAAGACGAGAAAGGAATGGCTCCCATTCCCCGCGCAGCGTGCATGTTGCAGAACGAATTGCGGCGGCGTCGGCAGAAATCTGGGCAGAGCGTGGGAGAGGAGGCGGGCACCACCCCGCGATTGCGACGTGATCTACTTTACGAAACGCATTCGGCGGCAGGCTGAGCATTGCGTGAAAGATATAATGCTGACGGCGAGCAATCTTCAGACCAAGCGGGAAGAATTGTGAGACATAGCTGAGCGTTGAAACGACAGATGTGTTGTGCAGGCGTACAGCGGCGTCACTACCACTCTGAAAACAAGCTGGGTATAAATGCCACGCTGCCGCCATTTCTGCCCAGGGGCCAGACATTGTAAGGCGATGGGGGGCCGAGGGTCCGAGGAAGGCCCCGAAGTGCTGGGTTCGCCCCGAAACCGCAAAGCCACCCCAAGAAGGACAGAGGTCGGCCAGGAGGGCTTTCGTTAGGGCTGTGGTGGCAGGCGTTGTCTTCGCCCGGAGCGGGACGGCGACGCACTTGCGAGGCCTGAGCGAAAGGAGCGCGAGCTCCTCAGCAGCACCAAAGGGCTCATATGCGCGGCGCAGTGTGTCGAACGAGGACGCGAGGAGGCCAGCGTCGTCCGCGCGCACGCCGAGGTAGCCCATATCGTAGTCAGGCATGCCATCGACCGTCTCGACGAACGAGGCGAGGTGGCGCACCAGCGGGCCCATCGCGATCGCCCGCGCTGAGCCGCTGGCAGGGCAGCCCTGCGCCACGCCAGACTCGATCGGGAACATGAAGCGACGGACGCCGCCGACCTTGAGCAAGCTGTTCGGGGCGTGGCACAGCTGGCGAAAGAGACAGAACAGGCCTTCAGGAACGCCGAACCGCTCCAGCGATGCGAAGAGCCAGATCCGTCCGAGCGACGGGAACGCCGCCGCGACGTCGAAGCTGGTTAATACGGGCTTGTGCAGCTCGGAGTCAGGGCGCACCCCAGCACGGCGCATCTCCGCGTCAAGTCTGACGATGTGCTTGGTGAAGCTGCTGCCGACCACGAATCCTTGCTGCGCGTAATGCGCCCGCTCTGCCACAACGGCCTTGACGAGGAAGTGGGCAGCGCCCGCGGTGGCCTTGATATCCGTGTTCTTGAGGGAGAGCGGGCGGGTGTCCTCTGGCAAGCGGTCCGTCGTGAGCTCGCCCGTGAGGTTGCCGCCCTTCGGGAGGAAGGCGAAGTCGGAGTCGCTCAGAGCGTGGATCCGGTCAGCGTTGGAGCAGAGGTGCCAGGCGAGGCCCTCGAGCAAGTCCAAGGACGCGCCGACGGCGAGCCAGGCGCGGTGCGGCAGGAGGTCGGGCCCAGGCGCGGACGGCGCCGCGCGCTGCAAGAAGCCGAGGGTCTGCGATTTGGTGGGCGCGCCAACGTCGATGGTGGGGCTGAGCGGCATGCGCGTGCCGATGCACTGCTTGACCTTCGCTTCGCCGACCTGTTGCGCTCGAAGACAGGGCGCCAGTGGTGGCGAAGTGCGTCCGCCATCGCACAACTCTTCCTGGCTACCCCAGGAAGGCCCGATGGGTCGGTGGTCTTGATGCCCTGGAGGACAATGCTGCGCTTCCACGGAGCCCGAAGGAGGGCTCTGCGCTGGGACACACGGGTGATCTTTCGAAGCTTCTCAGGCTCGATGGCCCCAGGCGTGCCGCGTGGCAACTGGGCTGCTCTTTGTGCCAGAGAGCGTTGCCGAGCCTCGAAGTCGCAGTGCCGAGCGGAGGACTTCATGGCGAACTGGGCGGCATCCGAGAGCGCGATGACGCCGTCGTCCAGCACGAAGTACTTTGCGCCGAGCTCGGTGGCGGTCTGCAGGCGGCGTGCCAAGTGGATGTCCTGGCGCCAGATCGCTCGCGAGATCGAGCGTGCTGTGATCACCCGTCCGTCGGCGTGGTTTGACTCGCCGGTCTCTCCAGCTGCGCGGCTGACCCAATCAGCGCGAACAAGACGGGCAGCCTCCACCATGAGGCGCTTGTGCGAGCGCCAGCGGTTCGCGATCGGCAGGTGGGTCGCGACGGCGTGGTCGAGCATCTGCTGGGGGTACTTGGCGAACGAGGGGTCGCAGAAGATGGCCCGCGGGATAGCCTGCTCCACTGGCGGCGGCTTGAGACCGATGGGGTAGGAGACGATGGCGCGGTCGCTGAGGAGGCGGTCCGGCAGGATGGCGGGGTCGTGAGCGATGCGGACAACCGATGCGAGCTCAAGCATAGCGCGCGGCGGCAGGCGGATGAAGACCCGATCGACGGCTGACACGGTAAAGTCGGACTTGTTG